GGAAAAGGGAAATTTTGACTATAAATACATTTCACATACAGCTTGCCATGAAATGGTAATTTTTATTGCTTTCGGTGCTTGATGTATAATTATACAACATAATAATGGCAATTTTTTACATAATTATTCCAGTCAGTCAGACAGTAGTTTGCTATAGATCAAAGATCACATACCGTATTTGCTCTGTTATTAGCACATATACTTAATATGTAAATGTGTGTTTTATGGGCAATAGATAACAGAATAAATGTAATTAATTTCTATTTGAGACACTTTTAATAATGCAAATACAGCAAAACGAATACACTGTGAATTGGACATGCAACTGTGAACAGGAAATTAACTTATAGCCATTTATTCAGTGAGAGACCTACTGGATATAGCACGTACACAAGTTAACATTACTACAATTACTCATATTAAATTTTAAATAACTCTACTACATGTATAAATGATTAAAACGGTGAGTAGATGTTAGGCTAGGTAGGCTTGATTGTATAAACACTGAATTGATTTCTTCAAGAAATGTGCCATAAACTCACCCTCTTATTTTGAAGTTTCATTTTCTGGTGCTTGTGCAAAGTGCACAAAACTAAATCACACTAGCGTCAATTTGCCAATTTCAGCAAAATAGTTAATGCAACAAAATTTTCACTGATGTTTGAAATTCGCAAAGTCTCTCACCCAATTCAAGCAGTGTTTTGCATAATAATCAACTTATTTCAGCAAGCTACATGTAACTGTATATCTTAAACGAGATGAAACTCAAGTAGTGTTTGATTATTTTATTTTTATGAAAAGAGCTATTGTACATAAACAAAAGGCGGCCTTTTTTAAGTATTTTTGAATTAAATTTTGGGAATTAGTTTGGATACACATTGCATGGAATAAGACTGCTTTCAGTAATTCAAAAATACAGGATGAAATAAATATAGATCAATCTAGTTTCAATTGTTTAATAATAATTCTAAATCTATATAGATTTAGACTTATTTTTGGCAGTATATTCTATGTGGAGGGACATTTTAATACTGGAGTCATGTTGATCTACTTATTGAAGTAATTATGTATGGAGTTTAGAAAAATAGATATTTGCAGCTTGTTAAAATAAATTTTGTTTAATCAACCTGTCAAAAGTACATTTCATCTTTGCAGTTTTGCTCATCTGCTTCAAATATTCACTAGACATGTAGGGGCTCGTTAGTCAATGACTATCACAGAGAACAGGAAACCTGACAAACATAGGTCATGTTTTCCTAAAATTCATCCTTGCAATCACATAATTTATCAGTATTTTTTTTTTGAAGCCCAACAAATGCCACAGTGGCAGATTGATGAACTGTATCACTGATTGTTGAACTGAATTCACATTCAGTCAACGTTAAAATGCATTGATTGATTAAAATAGTTTTTGAAAGGTTCTATTTTTTTTTTTGAGGTAATTAATTTTCATGAATACAAAATATGATTATTTTATATTAATTTTTACTAGTATTTAATTTCACTATTTTGTTCAAATTTACTATGTTTGAATTCACAGATTTTCCAGTGAAACTACAAGTTATTTTGTAATTTAACATAAATTTGTAGCTGATTTCACATATCAGTGAAACTAAACCAAATGAATAATTAATAGGTTTACAGTATTTTTTGTATGGCAGGAAACTGAATCACAGTCGTTAACAGTAGTAATGTAATGGCTGCAGTTTCTATTCAAATGGAACTGCAAAAATACAACAGAGTGGATGTATCTTGCAAATAGAGCATCTACATATACACATGTATGAGAAATAGCGAATTTTCGGTTCAGTTGTTCAAAAACAATTGGAGAGGCTTCTAGTGCAGATTTTACAGTACCTTAATTATTAACAGTCTTACTAGTCCAAGGTCATTGGCAATTATTAAACTTGACTATATTGAAAGATTTTATAACTAAGATTCAATTAGCAACACCCCAAATTATACAACCCACCCCCCTCCCCCCTCCCCAACTAGTGAGTTTCACATATCACTAGCTTCCATGATATGGTCAAGTTTGTTTCCAGTCAGAGCTATATATATACAGATAGAGTAATGTACACAACATCTACTGATGTACACATTAGTAATCAGCTTAGGGAAACATGTCAGCTTTCATCAACTAATCAATGAATATTCAAGACGGTGTAAAAAAAAAGAAATGGAATAGTAAGCTTAAAAACTGCTCTTGTCATCATTCCCATGTCTAAATTACCAACATTTATATTTTTATTCTCTTCTTGGCACTGCTAATACATTTAGACTTGCATTGCTTGAACATAGATTCGAGTTTGCTGAATATTAGAACCAGGTGACCCACATTAAATTAATACACATGGATATACTTAGTGTACTGCTGAGGAAATGCAAATGATGGATACATCTGGTTATATTGAATAACTACCTAGGACTATGATTACAAAATACCATATTCTAGATGCAGTACCACATGGATTTATGATACGTACGGTACAACTTTGCCCACGAGTAGATAATGAAATACAATTCAGATCTATAACTTACTGTAATTATTGCACAAATACTACACATCATTTTGCAAGGAATATACTGGCTCAGTGTGCTAATACTAAAATTCGAAAGTTTATTTCTCTATAGTGGCACCACGCTTATAAGCTATTGTTAGCAGCGTAAATTCTTTTCCTTCAAAAGGCACAAGTTTAATGAAGGAATGATTTCATTCAAATATCACATCTGTTGAAAATCAATACAGCAGCACTTTACGTCTAGCTGGGGTGGCTCTTCAAAGCAATATCATGTTTAAATGCCTGCGACCACATTGAATTTAATGAGGACAAATAAAGCTAGGCCTGTGTCTGAATTAGCCATTTACGTCAAAGAGTACATTAAAGCTAGTGATCATATAAATCTTCACAATACATTCACATGCTACTACAGATTCTATAAGAAATGTTGGCTATACCATGGAGGATTGCTTAGATCATATGACCTCATTATCATGTCTTAGATTTTCAGAATGCAAAACACACAAGACAATTTTATCATGAATAAATATGATTAGTTTTATTCAAACTTCGTTACTATACATAAAGACAACATGGCTGTTTGTGACCTTGACGTTGTACCAGGTTAGTCGTTATTTGAAATAATGAGTACGTACACAGCAGGTAAAAAAAATTAGTTGATTTTTAGAACTATGCTAAAAAACATGCTAATTTGATACCCTGTATATTTATTTTTGATCTAGTTCAAGATGTATACTAAATTTGAGCAAAAATCTTTCTCATTGATATTATCTAAATTATAGTTTAACCAAATTCAAGCATTTAGCCAAATTCAGTTATCTATATGTCAATGTTGTTAACATTGTGTCATTAGATTCATGTATCGTCACAATAATTTAATACTGTTTTGTGCTGTGCACCACAATTGTGACACCAAGATATGTATTTTATCGAAACACGATACATATTGAAATCATTAGATGGGTTTGAATTGTGAGATAAAAAAAGTTGTAAAACTTATACTTTATCATTTGATAGGATTTCAACACACTAAAATATGAAATGCACACAAAGAAAGCCAAGTTGTTCTAACAGAAACTTGTAATTACTTTATTTTCACTGGAATTAATTTTTGCTGAAAAGACGCTTTGGGTGTTTTGTATGGAATTTATTTTCACTGATTTTTGACAAGTTGAATGCAAAATATAAGAAAAAGAGTATATTTGCTAGATTTTATTTTACCTGAAACATTTTTTGAGCGAAAATTAATTCCAAGCGAAAATAAAATATTTTACGGTGTCACAGATTCCCTTTTAGATTCCCAGATACTTTTAACTTATCCATCATATTACATACAATTTAATCAAACAATTATTTTCTTCTGCTTGAATAGATTAGAATCAAATATGAATCATAGCATAAACTACAAATATACTCAGTAATATACCCTGTGATTTTTAGTTGAAGCAGCAACAAAAATAAACAGGGAAAGAATATACATGTATCACAAGCACTATGTTATCATTACTGGTAAATAAATTGAACATGTCTTTGAGATTTGAATTTATAAAAACCATGTTTTACTGAATTAATATTTCAGCATAGAAATCTTTACAAAGTTTTCTGCATAGACATGTGCTCCCAAATATTTAATCAGCCAATCTTTCATTCTGTACAGAAACAATACTACCCACTCTTCAATCCTGGAACCTATGGTAGATATGGTATAATTACTGGTAAGGCTCTGCATATTAATTAATAATTATATCAAGTTAATTAAATCGAGACTCATCTCCAGTTCGAATAATGATCAGTTAAAAAAAATTGAATGTAAAAAAAATGTATATATAAAACACATACGTATTTGTTCTATTACTGGTGCATGTAAATGACAAAGGTGAGTCTCTGTATGGACAGTATACATGGATAAAAAATCATCTTTTCAATAAATTCAACTCTTGGTTTACATGTGCTTCTATTGGCGATGCACTTCCAATAGAGGAAATACAGTTATCATAATAAACCAGTATAAGAAAGCTCATCTTTGGCTTATTTTTTTAGTCTTTTTATTTATCTCCTTTGGCAAGAATCTCAATTCAGGAAATCTGATCTGGCTCATTTATGTCACGAAGTAAGCTTCAGGCATGTAACTGTTGCCTGCTGATGAACAGCTCAGACGATAATGAAAATGGACACAAAGTCATCTCAAACCTCTTGAATGCAGCAAATTGAATACAAAAAAAAATGCAAGTACATAAGACTCAAAGTCAATGAATAGGCATCCAGCAGTATTTCATCACGTAAACAGCTTTGAATAGAAAATGAAAAAAATTTTCATTGTTCATCTCTTGAGTCAATTATACTTAGAAAAATAAATTATGGTTTCCATGACAACAACATTTCCCACTTTTAAGAGATACTGATAATGACAAAATTCAGCACCAAATGCCACTAACAAAGACTGTTCAATTCATTGTATATTGTAATATATAAAAGTCATTAGACCGGCAATTCGTCCATGTTTGCACAGAATGCTGGTAGACTGTTGTACCTGCTGTTTTGAGTGGGAGAGTTGGTAAATTCAGGTAAGCTCATCACCCGTCTAGTTTCAGTCATCTCAGTTTCATCCGTTCCTGTCGACTCGTTATCACTTCCACTTCCTCCAAATGGATAAACTCGTGTATGGAGAGAAGGTTTCAACTTTGTTAAACTGGCTGTTCTTTTTAAAACCCACTCCCCTAAGCTTTCTTCCTTAGGTCTCTCTTGTAAAACTTGCTGTAAGACTGCTTTAAATAAAGGAGGGATTTCCTCCACACAAGGCTTCCTCAACAGAATTTCCCGGAATCTTGTAATTACTTTCCCACTTTCCTGTGGTTTGACTTTAGAGCACAGCTCCTCTATTTCTAATCGTTGGATCTGTGGCATCTCGAAACTTTTCGACGGAGCGCTGATCAGCCACGTATAATCGACACACGAATTTTTCATTTTGTCCTCTTGTTCTTTTTCCCTACTGATCCGCTCGATCTCTTTCATTTGTGTATCGAGTTCGAGAAGCAACGACTCAGCGACTACGATGCTTTCGCATTTCTCGGGTGGCCGGTAGTCGGCGCCGCGAAACCAAGAAGTCAGCGGCATTTTAAAGTCGAAGTCAAGTAAACCCCTCCAAGTATGTCGATATTCCCCCAGTCGTGTGTAGTTTATCGAGCTATTTACTTGGCGTTCCAGTGCTGTCCTTGCCCACGTAATCAAAATCACAGTTGCCACACGAAATCCGCGCTGTAGAGTAGTCAAAACGAAGACACAAGACTAGTCAAACATTAACACAGCCAAAAAGAATAAAAAGCAGATCTCCTACCGCTCCAATCGTTCCATTGGCAATGGGGTAAGAATATGAACTGTCAGTGTATGTAAAAACGTAGTCAAGAGACAACAGCGACCGGAGCTCCGCTTTCACACTTTGTCCTTGGGATTCCAAGTAAGATACGAAACACGTCTACTCTGTTCCTGTATATGAATTATCAAGTCCTCATCTCCGTTTTAAGTAATACACAACTAAGCACTACAGACGAATCGTGAGAGAAAGAAAGTCGGTACATCCACATCACTACAGATGCACAGGAGTAGACGAGAGGATGTTGTGGAAATTGACCCTGCGACGATCATTTACTACTATGCAAATTTAAATGTCGCCCTCTATCACAATGTTAAGCGGAAATGCATTTGTGAAGTTCCGTATAAGAAAAACAATTCTGGGTATCACAGGTAACTTTTGTTTCACAGATTGCATACATTCAATGTGTTTATCATTACCCTAACTGTATTATCATTATTATTATTATTTAAGTGATTTCATCTTAACTAAAGTGTCGTGGATGCGTTGCATGTAATGATTGGCTAGTTGGTTTCTCATTCTTAGCTTTACACCAATCAGCGATCTTGTTACTGCAGGAAAGTCAACGACGATACAAAATGGCTCCAATAGGAAGTAGAGAGTCGAGCGTTCAGCGACAAATTCAGCAGGATTGGGCTAACAGAGAATACATAGAAGTAATAACGAGCAGTATTAAGAAAATAGCAGATTTCCTGAATTCTTTTGGTAGGTAAATGTAGTATGTAAGCTATACACGAGTCTACAATCGTACACTGCGACTCTCAGCAGTGAACTGGGAAGTAAACAATCGGTACAGAACGTCTAAATACATAGAAGGAAATTGGTGTTGTTCACAACACAGTTGGACGACTGTTACTACAGCCATATTAGTGTTCGAACACCAGTACAGCATGTTAGTGAGAAAATTTGGTAGTTATCTAACAATGTTGCTTTCAGTCAAGCGTCCATACTTTGACTATCGCCGACAAGACAGGGAGCCCAGGAACTGTAATCAACTGTACGGCAGTCCCTATGAGCGGGGGGGGGGGGGGTATCGGCTGGTATCTAGTATAAGAAATAGACAAGAGATGAAGGCTCCAGCCAGCTCACATTTTTAAACTCGAAAAAACAGTCAAAGGAATGAAAAATAAAATCTAAAATGAATACCAGCTTGAAGAATATTGTTTGCTTCTTCAAATTTCGCCAAAGCCATACCTATATTTTATTAATATCTGCAGAATAAATCAAGAAAACTACACAAATTGGCTCCATTTATGAATAATTAACGGTTGCCTCAAAAGCATGGCACAGTTAGAGACGTCGCCTATTCAGAATGTGTCAACAACCAATCACAAGAATGATTACGAATCACACCAAGTTTACGACTCTGTTAGCCTCGCTCAACTGGTTCGTAACCAGTCTTGTGATTGTGATCTTGATCACTGCGTTGTCAATTTCAGTGATGCAGCAATAGCTTTGTCATTTTCTAACAAAGTACAGACTGCCCCTGTCATATCACGGTAAAATATAAAATATGGACTGTGAGTGAGCACTGTGTCATTTTCTAACGTTGCTAGACAGATAGTTTCTTTCTTTTTTTTTGGTAAACTTGTGTCGCTGAAATCGATAACAAAACAGTAACTGTTGATCATTGACAGATTTAAACCTCACAATTACAGCTGGCCGAGTTCGACTATTTTTCCTGGCTGGGTTTGACTGTATTCCGTGTAATTTAATACTAGACAGTGGACTTTCCAACACAAACTATGTCCGATATGTCTTTCATAGAATGGCCTGTTCCCGGGGAAGGCTAAAACAGTGAAATTATTGTGTTTCTTTTTCTTTTCAAAAGGCTGTCGTGGTTTAAACATCAAAATAATAGTTTCTCCAACGACAATTGCCTGACTCAGCTCTTGGGAAGAAATCATGTAGTGGTGTTCCAAACACTAGATACTTGTCTGAAAGCCACATTGCTAGTTGACTAGCAAATCCAGAGTTTCGACTCTTTTCCAGAGACTTACAAACAATCTCTGAGTCATCATTTTTGATGTTATTTGTGATGAAAAGTGTTTAAAGATGACATTTTCAATAGTCAAGATAGCTTTTTAATATAATTTTAACTTAGTTTTAAAGTAACACTGATGGACACTTGTTTGTCTGTTATTGTTCAAGTGAACATATGTACTATTAGATCGAAAACAAAATATGTGGTGTTCAATCGCATAGGGTATGCATAATACCATTAGGCCACACTGATTTAATTTTATGGATGACATCCTCTGGAGACCCCAAAACTAATGCGAGAGGGCGAAAAAAAAAAATCCTGCTAAAAGCACAGGACTACGGAGCTGCTATTACGAATTGGACCACAGAACACAATGTATCAAAGAACAACAAGAAGTCTTTATTTGTAGGAGGCACATGTTGATATACACATCTCGTACTGTATTACTGTCACAGGTATAACCATTTCAGACAAGCTCTAGTACATGTAGTCATGATGAAGTACAACAATGTACCTTCAGTCAAAAACACTGCATGCAAGGTACAACATGGACATCATTTTCAGTACAAGTCAAGGCGGAATGTACATATCACTACTTTATAACAATAACTAACAAAACATTGCAATGATACAGAAATGTCCTTGCTTGCTCCTCTCTACACAGTAGGGGTTAGCTTTAACCAATCTCTCGTATAGCTGTGTAAACGTCATATCTCCCTGGTCGACGTCAATTGCGTACCAGTCTACAACAATCCCTCAGTTTTTCCTCTGAACTGTTATGCTCACGTATTTCTGGCAACGCAATACGCATGTGCAGAAGATT